TTGTCTTGTATTTATTGTACTGTGACGTCCCAGACTGTAATGATCATGATAAATAGAAGGTACACACAGTGATACCTCAAAATTACACTTTTGAGGGGATCATGAAATTAGCAAAAAGTTGAGAAAACTGTAAAATCGGGAAAATGGAAAGGATACGGTATAAAGAAAAATATGGGTTGTTCTATACAATAATGTGACAAGCCAAATACAAGTATACGTGTTTAAACATGATAAATATACATGTAACGGCAGTAATCTATTTACTGTGTTATTTCTTGAACCAGCCAAGAGTCAGTCTGTATAGCTGTCTCACATGGGGTTCAGATGCTTCATATGCAAAAATGTGCTTATGTTATGAGGGCCAGCCTTGAACATGGGTGGAATGGCATCAGTGTCTCTCTGCAGTCTACAAGATAGAATGTTGTCTGCATAAATTGGATAAAGTTCTATTGTTGGGACTTTGAAAATGTGATGAAAATTACAAATTAAAAGTGCATAAAATGGGGGGATGTAAAATCTGATAGCACAATATTAAATTGACGCTGTCATGTAGCTGGCATTTTCTGGACTTTATTGTCCAGAAATCTCTTGAAATTTTCCCAGTTTGTCTGTACAAAGTTTGTAATTTAATTTGAAATACCAGATACCAAAATTGCACCACACATGAAGCCAATAGAAATGAGGTGATAATTCATAGTGAACAGACACTCCAGACACTACACATACAGCTTTCCTGTGCTGATGTCTCTTCAGTGAACTCCCCATTTAATGTTCCTCAATTTAGGATTTTCCCTAATTTAATGTTCAATTTTAGTGATTCCAAGTCAATTATCTCAGTGCTAAGTTTTCTCCATTTAAGATTTTCCTCAGTTCAGTGTTCAGATTCTCTTCTTCCCAAAGAAACCATAGATCAAGGTTTCAGTATAGCTGCACAACAGCAACAGAAAGTAAAAGAATGTACACTTGGTCGTCAACTTATGACCACAAAAAAAGAAAAATAAAAAATGATTAAAATGTAACAGCTTTTAAAAATAAATTATAAAAATGATAAAAAGATTAGAAAGGTTACAAAATACTGTTAATAAATATATGGCCAACATACGACCAGATCAACTTACAACCTGTCAGTCAGAACGGAAGTCAGTCATAAGTCGACGACCAAGTGTAACTGCGAAAGGGGACAATGTTGCCACCAAGTTTGGTGACTTCATGTGTTTGTCTGATCTTTTGATTGATGGCACTGATATTTATAAATCTTGTGTAGTGCTGCCACCATTGTTTCATTAATTTCACTGTTGTCGCTATTATCTCTGCCAATTAACATGCAGGACTGTAAGTCTTATAGATAGTTTTATAACACAAGAGTAACATAATGTGCCAAGTGTTTTCGTTTTCAGAATGGTGATCAGTTTCGCTGTACATAATTATAAAGTTGTTCTTAATTTTATGTCCATCCTAAGTTTAGTGCTTTGGTAAAAAAAAACAGTTGAAGCTGCTCCATTCATTTGTGAGGTAATTCGATTCGTCAGCTGTTTTAGCTCTGAAGAACTTATTTAGGGTTGGTTGGCTACATAATCTGATACACACTGTTATAAAATGAGTGTGCCATATCAGGGAAGAGTATGAAATTCACAACACTTTACCCTTTTGCAATGTATTTTATGTTCTCAGTGTGTTTTAACACTTTGTTACTAAAGCATTTTCAAAAGATGATTTAAATCTAAGAAATGTGGTTATGCAACAACATACTTTTTAACTGCAGTCTGCAAGTTTGGGGATAAAATTCAACCTAATTCCCAAATTGTTATCGTATTGTCATTGATAATGTGACTGCAAACATTGCACAACCCGATTCAGCCACATACGGGCTTATGCCACTTTGATCATACCGAAAACCTGTCTGACAATAGCCTGGACATAGCTTCAGTCCCTAGCAGTCAGCTCTAATGCTGTAAAGAGGTGTTTCCCAGAGTTGGTGCCACAGTCCCCCAAGGTCCCATTAAACTTTCTCTGAACCCTGCAAAAAAGTGGGCTGATGATGAATATGCTGAATTACTTTTAATTCTAAGCTCCATATTGTTTTATTCTTATGAAAGGAGCCTTAGACTGAAAGAACTGGGAAACCATTTCAGCAAAGAGCACCAGTATTTTGAGAGAAAGCATTTTTTTACACACCAGTTACTGATGTCCACACGTCCTTTAAATGTTACATACCCACTGTATAGTGAGGACTGCCAGAGAGGAGAGGAGTGGCAGTGTAGCTCTCAGGTCTATCACTGTGCCCACAGGTTAGGTTTTATATTACGGTACAGTGGTCTAATGAACGTACAGCAAATATTCTTGTTTCAGACAATCACCTGTGTATTCATCACGAGGAGTGCTACATACCAACACCAATCCTGTAACCAATAGCAACAATATGAGATTTGTATGTCCTATCTGTGGTAAGAAAATCTCAACAAAAGGGAACCTAAAAGTACACCTTGAAACTCACCGACCAAAGGGAAAGTATGGCTGTGACATCTGTGGCAGAGTGTGAGTATTACATCTTCTTGTTTATGGCAAAGTAAATATAAAAATTTTACATCATTATATCATATTTACTGTTTGAAGCAGCAATATGTATGCTGCTACTGCTGAATAGCAGAAGTGATTTTCAGATCAAATATTTCTGCATCGCAGAGTATTTAGCAATGTCTTCCAGAGTTTGTATGACAGGTTCCTTTCCTAGCTTTACTACTTCAGCAGAGCATCCAATATAAGATATGGCCAAAGAAGAAAACATTGTTCAGATGATACAATGGAATGTTGGTGTTTGTATGTGAAAGATTTTCAGGTGTCTTCATCCTCCACAGATGAGCATATGGAGAACATTACAACAGGAAAGCATGTATCCATACTATGTTCAGCACCTTCAACCAGGGAATTATGCTTAATGGCAGAAATTTTGTAATTGGCTCCATGCTGATAGACAGCTACATTGCTAGATTTTTTTTTCTGCAATGGTCAATTTACCTGTGATGGGGTCATCACATGCAGCTCATATTTGTGACCAGAAGTGAGTCACCATGGCACTGTGGAAAGCAGTTTTCAACCTCAGTGCTTTGTAAATGTGTGGTATGCTGTGCTTTGCAGACAGATGATTGGTTTATCTCTGAGGGCCATCTTACAAGTGATGTCTATCTACAGTTTCTGCCGGATGAACTGTCTGACCTGTTAGAAGATGTACTTTTGGAACCATGTTTGCACATGCATATTCAACATGACTGAATGCCTCCACACTTTACCCATGCAGTGAAAATGTAACTTGATCATTGTGTCCAAGTTCATTAGATCTATCATAGTGGTCTGCAGCATTGGCCATCCAGAATTCGGTGATCTAAACCTCCTAGTTTTTATCTGTGGGGGCACATATGACAATCCTAATGAAGTGATGTGGGCTACGTGCTCAATATGCAATGAGCCAGAATGTATGTTAAAACTGAAGAACAGTCGTCATAAATTCAGCAAAGAAAACTTTGTGTAAATACTTGTTCATCTATTGTTTAACATTCTGGTAATGAAAGATCTGTAGGCATTGAAAATTTTACTATGTTTATGCTACATTTCTGACTGGGAATGGCCTCAGGAATAAACTCTGTAGTACAGGATATTAGTTGATAAATACCATGTATATCGAAGTTGTAATTAATACAGTTACAGCCTATTCATCATTTCATAGCAAGTTTATAGAATTAATCAACAAGGTTGAAAGTCTGAGTTAGAAGAATCTACTATTGCTGCTTTAAATTATTTTCTGTTAGTGGATAAACATTTAATTTTGAGAGGGAACTGGTATGGTTATATCCTAGTGTACTATACTCCTTTCTGATAGACTGTAAGAGTAGCAGGTGGCCTGTGAAGATTGTATTTGTGTCTCATATTGACTGCATGAACCTCATAGCTCGTGGGTTTACTTTTGTTGCTATTATACCACATTTTAATAAATTATTTGTTGGTGATTATATCCTTGATTGTTGGTTCTTGGAATTTTATTACATGATTTTTATCCAGAATTATAATTTGATCTCCCCTCTGCTCTTTTATATGGTTTCGTTCAGTGGGTTCAGGTTTTAATTAAAATAATGTTGTTTTAAGAACATATTTTTAATTTTACAATTCTTAGAAGTTGATTTCTCTTGCCTTCTACTGTTGATCTCTTATATATATATATATAGTTCATATAACCCTGCATTGGCTAGTGTAGGGAAAAACATCAGCAAAACAGAGAGAGAGTGTAAATATTTTACCAGATGATGACCATAAAGAGCTGAAACATGTTGGCAAAATAATATGTAGAGTTTATACAAGAATTGTGGTGACAACAAATAATAAGTTGTTCACACACAATATGACACTGAAATACAACATTCTGAAATTTGTTTTTAACTGAAAATGAGAAAGTGTCAGTATATCCTCCCACACTGTTTTTCTGTCTTCACTTACTGGTAATATTTCATATATAGAACAGTGATGGCCACTTCCTTTGTCATTAAATGCCACATACTGGTCAAGATTTCAGTATGGGTACCAAACCAATACCTCCAAGTAGGGGTTTGGGCATGAGACTGACAACCTCACCTCTTGAAACAATGTCAATTCAATTCAATTTATTTCAAATTCAAAAATAGATCCAGATACAGGCTGGGAAACAACCATTGGATATAGAATGAGTCACAGATCAAAAAACAAACATTCCATTCCCACAGGAACAAGTCAAGGCATTCATAATATAAAACAAAATAAAAAAGAACGTATCAACCATATATACAACAAAACTCCCCCAGTTTACAAAAACAACGCAGAACCAAGACATCTTATTATAGAACTCTCAGAGGTTTCAGGCATCAGTACAAGCTCTTTTTTCATTTTCATTACTCATCTATTATTTCCATAAAATCCAATACTTTAGGATGTGGAAAAGTCATATTAGATAAATAAGTAGTACAAAGAACTAAGTCAAGACATAAGAATAGAACCAGAATATGATTAATCTTACCGACTAGTATATACAAAAAATTCATCCACAGTATAAAATGGGTGACCACTCAAGAATTATTTTAATTTTAATTTAAACCGCTTAATATCTTTATATAATTGCTTCAAATTTAGTGGGAGACAATTGAATAGTTTGATGCCCATATAATATGAGCCTTTTTGATATAATGATAAACAAGTTGAGGGTTGATATAGATTTAGGTCGAGTACCTGTATTAGTGTCTCTGGTATGTATATCAGATACAAACTAATATTGATCCATGCTATCGACCACAAAGGATAGTAGTGAATAAATATACATAGATGAAAGAGTAAGAATTTTTAGAGTAGTGAATATCATTTTACATGAGTTTCTATTACCAGCACCAGTTATTAGTCTCACCGCCCACTTTTGCAAACGAAAGACATTGATGGCGTATGAAGAGTTACTCCCAAAAATAATGCCATATCAAATAATAGAGTGAAAATAGGCATAATAAACCATCAGCAGAGTTTCCTGATTCACAAATGGTTTTATGACTCGGATTGCATAGCTTCGGGATAAGTGAGTCAATATGAGTTTTCCAAGTCAGAGTATTTGCAATATTAACCGCAATATTAACCCCTAAGAACTTTAAATGGGTTGAGTTGGGTATTTCCATGTTATCATATACTATCTTTATTTCATGTTCATGCATATTTTTTGTATTAAACTTGACAAATCAGCATTAAACCACAATTTTAATTTATTGAGAACTTCGGTCACACTATGCAGGAAAATTAGAGGATCTGGATTGGATATAATCACACTAGTATCATCAGCAAAGAGGATAGGATAGGAAATCCTGTTTAATACTAGAGGCAAATCATTAATATAGTTCAAGAATAACAAGGGACCCAAAATGGATCCCTGCGGGACACCATGGGATATTAAGCCCCAGTTTGAATAGGTATTAGGTTACTGTCATTACCTCGTAATTTAATTCTCTGAAACCTTCCTTTAAGATAAGATGCTATCCATTTATGCATCGGAGCCGTAATACCATAGAATTCCAACTTAGATAATAAAATCTTGTGAGTGACACAATCAAAGGCCTTTTTCAAATCACAAAATATTCCACCCACATTATGGCCAGCATTTAGGGCAGTTAAGGTCAGGTCAAGCAATTTATTAATGGCCTTTTCAGTGGAAAAATTCATTTGAAATACAAACTGTTCATTGGCTAAAACATTGTTGATAGTCAAATGATGACAAAGTCTTACAAGCACCACTCTCTCAAATATCTTCGAAAAGGAAGTCAATAAGGATATAGGCCTATAATTATTGATAAGATTGTGTTAAGGAACCTAATGACAGGTGCAAGATGAGAGAAGAATGGGCATCTGTCATCAAGTACGCCATAGTTATCAGAGGACTATAAAGGGAAGGAGTAAGAAAGACCAAATCTGCGTGACTCTTTTATAATTTGAATAGATTCAGATAAGATGTGACTGAACATGTTGATATGTGATCTTAAGGATACTAAAAATAATTCATAAAAGGATTTCAGGATTGTATGCTCTTTATATACAGTTTAGACCTCCTAAGCTTATAGAATTATTTTACCAATTATTATTTATCTAAAAAAATATAGGGCTCCTATGTAACACATACAAATTAAAACATGAACACCTTTTGAGGTTGTATGTCACAGATAAAGAAAAAGAAATGGAAACTGAAGAGAAACTAAATCAATGAAACCTCATTGTAAAAGACTACAGACTGAAAATGAATATGGCCAAAATGGTGACTGTGAGGATGTCAAGGAACCTAGATGCAAATGTCCTAATAGAAGTTAATGATGCAATGGTTAAACAGGTGGACAGATTTATTTATTTATTTATTTTTATTTTTGGGGGAAATGAACTGTATACAGAAAGGAAAACTATTGGACAGTTCAGTGGAACAATGAAAAATGTGTTAATAAATCTAGAAGAGAACTGGCTACAGTTGTTTGGCTATGTAGAAAGAATGTACAGAACAAGGAGACTGAGAAGGGAGTTGGAATTAAAGAAAAGAAGAAAGAAAAGAAAGAAAGAAAGAAAAGAAAAGAGGCCTATGTGATGACAGAACAAGACATTTCAATTATGAGTAGGTACTAGATGGCTTGAAAAAGAAAGATGTAGGGAAGGTTGAAGAAACTGGAGACTTTTCATCCATTGATCTATATAAAGTAAATGCAAGGAGGAGGAAAAATCATCTCACCAGTAAGTTATCTTAAACTGGGCTACTCTGGTTTAAGGCAGTGTTCTTTTAATCATTTCATATGGTAGACTGGGTGCTAAATGTGTAATTTAGTATCATATTAGTATTATGTAGGTGAGTCAAATGAAAACCATAAAACTGAGATAAAATTTGAAATATCACGCCATTGTCCTATAAGTTGGCAGACATGTTACCAATGCTGTAAGGAGTATCCTATAAGTGGCAGTATAATGCAGACAAAAAGAATGCCATCACAGTGCCGGTTTGAAGATGGCTGCTCCACTACATACATGCATGAAAGAAGAACAACATTCTGTAATTCTTTTTTGATCAGTGAAGGTGTGAAACCAATTGAAGTTCATCGACGGATGAAGGTTCAATATGGTGATGCATGCTTGTCACAGCAGCAAGTGTATGAGTGGAGTAGGAAATACAGAAATGGTATGACATCTGTGGCAGACGCTCCTCGCCCAGGTCAGGTGCACAGAGTTGTGCCCCCTGAGTCTATTGCAGCAGTTGAAGCCTTAGTGATGGAGAATCGCCGAGTGTCGGTGGATGAAATAGCCAAAATTCTTAACATGAGTCATGGATCAGCACACCAAGTCATTCATGATGTGCTCCAGTTTCACAAAGTGTCTACAAGGTGAGTGCTACGGCAGCTGACTACAGAATTGAAACAGTGATGTGTTGACGCCTGTGAAGAACTTCTGCAGTGCCTTGAGGGAGAAGGTGATGGCTTCCTTTCGAGAATCGTTACTGGTGATGAAACTTGGGTGCACTACCACCAACTGGAAACAAAGAGAACAAGCAAGGAATGGCATCATTCCTCATCACCAAAACCCAAGAAGTTCGGACGCAGCCATCTGCAGGGAAGATTATGCTGACTCTTTTGGGATGAACGAGGTGTACTCTTGGAGCACTACATGCCTTGGGGGAACACTATCACCAGTGCCTCATATTCAGATCTCTTGAAGAATCATCTTCGACCTGCAGTCAGATCAAAGCGACGTGGACTTTTTACTAGAGGTGTCCTTTTGCAACATGACAATGCTCGGCCCCATACTGCCCGTGCAACAATTGCAACAATCCAAGACTGGCACTTTGAGTGTCTTCCACATCTGCCATACTCACCAGACCTAGCCCCAAGTGATTACCACATATTTGGGCCACTCAAAGAAGCAGTGGGAGGAAAGAAGTTCCGTTCTGATGAAGAGGTACAGCAGGCAGTGCATGAGTGCTTGCACAGACAACCACAAGAATTTTTTCTAGAGGAATCCATACACTTTGTAAACACTGGAGGGCCTGTATTGAACGAAATGGAGACTATTTAGAAAAACGATATAGTTGTGTACCGCTTTCATTCAATAAATTAAATAAAAAAAATTTTACGGTTTTCATTTGACTCACCCTTGTATAATGTTTATTAAATTTTCAGTTAGTAACGTTGATTTATATCAAGTCTTACCACTCCTATAATAGTTCTCAAGCTAGTGAGCTAGATCCAATTGCTGGTTCATTTCCTAGGTTATCTGTATATGATTGTCTGCTTGTCATAAATTTCATTGAATAATTATTGAATCTTTATTCTTAACAGTTTTCATTATTATTGGTCTGTACTGCACTAGATGGAATACCTTCACAGGCTTTATGTTGCTCATGTACTGTCATTTGCCCATCACTGATATGTGGGTCTGACTAATGTATGGGGTACGTAGCATCTCAGTTCATACTTTCTTGGTAACATGTGTTCTAATGTAAGAATTTTTACATTAATGCAGATTTAAAACGCAGTCTAATCTGTACCGCCATAAGGATTATCACGGAGGCATACAGTTCCCTTGTGTTGTATGTGGGCGAGTGTATCCCACTAACAGCACACTTCGAGCCCACAGCATTACTCATAGTGACCTTAGACCTCATGCATGTCCTCTTTGTGACAAGACCTTCAAACGTAACCAGGATCTGAAGGTACTGTAATTGATTATTACTGGTAACATCCTCTAGGTCCTTTTTCTGAGAAGTACAGTAAAACCTTGATAATTTTGTGCAAGATAATGCAAAATCCTTTATAATTTGAAACAGTTATCAGTCCTCATCAAAGAAGCTAAGACATAGTATGCTTATAGTCTTGTTTTCCATCTGTAATGCATCAATATTTATTTAACAGCATTAATTCACATTTAATTCACTAAATGTTTGTTAAATGTTTAAAATGTCATTAAAATATATATACATTCGGTGTTATGCTTCATGTTTCAGTTGCATAAGGCCATCTTTAGGCACTGCACTGTGCACTTGGTCAGATAGTATTCATTAAGGCATGTCATTGTTATTATTAATTTTTTAATCATCCTGCAACATCAGAATTAAAAAATCTATATAAATAAAAGTGTAAATGTTCGTTTGTCTCTATTCGAAAATCTCTGAAAGTTATTCACCGATTGCTTTAAAATTTTGACACAACGTTGCATTCAAATACGCGCGTTTTTTTATGTACCTATTATATAGCTGTCACACCTGTGACAGGTAAAAACATGTCACATGTTCCGAATCCAGCAGTCGTTTCCATAGTAGCGCTAGAACAGTTGCATAGGATAAGAGGTTCCGTTGCATGACAATGGATGAAACCGGAAAGTATACTTCCATGGAAACACAATAACAGTGGGCTGTTGCATAGGAATTGCCGAAACAATAAACGCGTTTCCCCCAGAGATGAGAGGATAAGAGGTTCTTTCGTCCATCGAATACCAACAGATCGTTGCCTAGGAATAACCGCGGCAACGAGCACAGAACACGTGAAATCGAACCCTGGGCGAAAGTGCCCTCTATTGCATCCGAAACCAGGTTATAACAGTCCAGCTCCGAAGAGTTTTTTGATGATACTGGACGTGATAATAATTGTACTCGCTGGTGTAAAAGTGAGCGTTCAATAACTTATTCGCTGAATCCGAGACATACGTGGAAGTTATTTGTCGCACTGAATAGGAGACACATTACCACAACAACGTTACATAGGTAACACACGACATATTCTTATTATCAAAGTACACGTAAATAATGCAACAATTTAAAAGACATCAAGAATATGTCACTCACTAAAAATGTATTTTAAGACTTTATGATGTTAAAATCATGTTTGACATATGTCACACCTATGACAGGTTGGTTGGTTGTTAAAATATTAATTGTACTCAGTATTAATATACTGTAACGTGTTATACGTCATTCATTTCATGAGTATAGTTTATTTTTCATTGTTTTTCATTTCGTTTTCTTAACTGTTCTCCATATTTTTCAGTGCAATTGGCGGTGGGAGTGAGCTGTGTCAATTGATCTGCGTTTGAATTGAAATATTTTGTTAGTATTTTTTATTTTTTTATTTCTTTGTTTTCCAGTTCGTGTTCTTTCCTTTTGTAATGTTTTGCAATTTTATATGTTTTTGTTATAACTTTCTTTCTTCTTCTTCAGTGCAATCGATCTGCTTTAGTTCATCCAAATAATGCCTCGCAGAAGATCAAACTTAGGTCGTCGTACTCACGGAGCGGAGGCAATTCACTCGATCTGCCATAGCAACGTGTGGCCGGGTACAGCTAGTTAATAATAAAAATAATGGGCCTTAATGAATACTATCTGACCAAGTGCACAGTGCAGTATACTTCTTTAAAGAATGTGTTTTCATGTGTTTGGGCCATTGCAAAAACGACGACCACACAAAACAGTTGTCACTATAAAGTCTGCCGAAACTAGTCCTTACCTTCTGAAGCAACGGTAGTCCTCTTATCGACTCAGGAATGTTAGCTCTATGTGCTCATAGCAGCAAAATGCGGTACTACGAAAGCTCTGCCCACAAAAAAATTAGTTCGGTTTCTTTTGGGTACCCCATCGTATAGGCCCACCCTTGCCAGAGAACACATAGGATTCCCTCAAAAGGATTTTAGTAAGACCATACACTCCTTTCAGAAAATAATGACAGTTAAATAAAATATTCAGATTGAATACAGGCTGTACGCAAAATCAGATAATATTTTCCTTACTCCTTTTAGCAGTGTGTAAATTCATATATAGGAAAACAATGTAAATTAAAGCTGAACAAGTATCGAATTGATAATTTTCATTTCATGCATCCTGTTGTGTTATAATCAGGGCCCGGATTTTGATGACCTGAAAATATTTAAAAAATGACCGAAAAAATCCAGAAAAATGACCTAAAGGGGAAAGAGAAAGAAAGAACACTTCGCTTCCATATTATTCACATTTCAGAAAACATATGAAGAAAAATTCCCTAAAATGGCCAAAAATGACAAGAAATACCCTTAAAAGCCCCAACAATTACCCCAAAATGAAAAAATGACCTTAAACCTAAAAATTACCCATAAAATTTACATTTCTGTAACCAGCAGCTCATATCCGAGATTTATATATTTAAGAGCATTGCATAGGATACAAGGAAAAGAGATATGTCATCAGAATCCGGGCCCTGGTTATAATATACAACTTCTTTATTAAAACCGTCACAGCACAACTATATCAAGGTCAGTGCCTAGTTTGGCTCTACGACTGTGGAGTTGTCGTTTACATTCCCTATAGAAGGGACAATACTTTGTAAGATGAGGCGCCAACTAAATAATTAATATTAATATTACTACATCTACATCACGAGCCTCCAATAACAATTTATTATATATACACAAAATAGAATACTCCAATTTGTCCGTAGGAACGCATCAAAATCAGAAAACCAACGACTGACTAGATGATGTAAAGCATCAATCAAAGAATTTCATTCTTGTTTTATACTATAACTTTTGTTTTATATAGTCTAATTTATTGCATTTTTATGCCAAGTATTTTAATATAATTAATATTGTATTTATTAGTACTGCAGTTCAGTGGTGCATATATGTTGGCCATGTATTTGCCTGATGCTGGCTTTTAATAGCTGAAACATGTATCAGAGCCAAACTAGGCACTGACCTTAATATAGTTGTGTTGTGACGGTTTTAATAAAGAAGTTGTATCTAATTGATGTTGTACATGTTCTGTTGGAAGTTGTGTCGATTTTGTCCCAGGCACTTCAGATTAATGAAGTTTTACTATAGTCGGGTAAAACTACCATATATATACATTTGTTATCTGTCTCATTCAGTTTATTTTTAATACCTGTGATAAAAATGATTCAGCTCACAACAGATGTGACAATTAATAGAAGTGTCTGACTCGCTGGTTGTAGAATTTGCAGTTTCAACTTTGCTAGTAAGAAATTCTGTCACATGCACTGGTCCAAAGTAGTGTAATGTAGGTTGATTTCAGTGTATTTACTTAAGATTGATTTTAATATTATTTTCCAGATTTTTCAGGTGCTTGCTTTCCAAGCAGTTTCCCCATGAAAATTTCTTTACTCTTGTTTTTGTACAGGTCCCAGGACAGTTGAAATTCTGATTAAGAATTAAGGTTGTAATAAATGTTCTGTCAGGTCAGGTTTGTCACACACCTAATGGAGAGTGATAGATGAACGTGGAGCATGAGTGGGTTGATAGCTAGCAGTGTACAACCAAGATACTTAATAAATCTACCCCTCTCTTACTTATGCCACTTTTGCATGTTTAATGGGCATTCACTTGGATTTTGTGGTTTTTCTTCCCCATTAACTTATCTCATATGATATAACTTCTGCAGTGAATACAGAATTGTTAAATAACCTACAAATGGATAGGATGATCATATCACACCTTAAGACAAGTTCTGTTTTATGTAGTAATGAATGCAATTTTTTGTTCTTTTTTTGTAGTTTCACATTAATCAGCACACTGGTGCACGACCTTACCAGTGTCCATATTGTCCTAAAGCATTTGCCAGCTCGGGAAATTGTTTCTCACATCGTAAACGAATGCATCCTCAGGAGGTTGAGCGTGACCGAGAGCGAGCCGCACAAATAATGCGGTGAGATGATGATAGCTGCTAACAGGAGTTTTTGTTGTGAAAGTAAGGTCTCTTCCCTCTTGTATCATAACACAGATAATTTTGTCTCAATAGTTGTGGCTGTCTGGTCATCTAAAAGTAAGGTTTTACTTTTGGAACCCTATTGAACACTTTTCATAAATAGTAGTTACTATAGGATTCTGACGATGGTGTATAACACACTGATATATTGGGTTTTTGGACTTCATCCATCGTCCTGGTCCACGCTAGCTCTTTCTAACGGACCCAACAGAATAGGTGTTTTCCTTCACCTGAGGATGGAAACAGATCCAGTTTCCGAAACGTCGTGTTTTTATTAGTTATCTTAAAAACCAGGACGATGGATAAGTCCAAAAACCCAATATATCAGTGACTTTTCATGAAGATCATAGATTTGTTATATAGAAATTAAATAATTCCGGACATCAGAGATATTACGTCACAGATTTTGAATGTTTTGCTCAAAGTACGATACATGTTTGGAAGTACCATTGACAGTATCTTTGCAACTGGAATGTTCGAGAAATATAGTAAGTCAAATTTTGGTCTTTCTGAAATGATGTTTATGTGGGGTGTTGTACTGAAAAAGATTAATATGTGGTGCAATCCAAAAGTTCCCGAAATATATTAATAAAAACTATTACATCTTACATAGATCTTATTCTGCACCATCACCTTCAAAGTAGTCTCCTTGGGAGCGCATACACCGATCCCAGCGTTTCTGCCACTTTTCAAATGCATCCTGGAAGTCTTTCTTTGTTAGGGTGTTTAGTACTGTCTGCATTTCCGCTTGAATTTCCTAGACTGTATCAAATCTTCGCCCCTTCAACTTGATTTTCATCTTGGGGAAGAGAAAGAAGTCGCATGGAGCTAAGTCTGGCGAGTACGGTGGGTGGGGAACAACTGCCATCTTGTTTTTAGCCAAAAATTCCTGCACAATGTAAGCCGTATGCGGTCGTGCGTTGTCATGGTGGAGTACCTAGTCGTTCGTGCGCCACTTCTCTGGACGTTTTCTCCTCATGTCCTCCCTCAAACGCCTTAGAACATCACGATAGAACTCTTTATTCACTGTCTGACCAGGAGGGACAAACTCCTTATGAACAATCCCGTCAATATCNGTTCCTCTGACAAAATTCGTTGACATGTACCATAACTTAGCCCCAAGGTGTTACAGAGGTCTTGGATGGTCAGTCTACGATCTTGCAGAATCAGATCCCTAACTTTCATGACATTTTCTGGTGTTTTGCCCGTTGATGGCCGTCCCGAACGATCGTCATCGTCAGTCAATGTTTGGCCATTTTTAAAACGCTTATACCAGTTGTAAGTTTGTGTCTGGCCTAAACTGTTTTCACAAAAAGCTTGCTTCAACATTTGGTGTGTTTCTGCAGCAGTTTTCCCAAGTTTGAAACAAAACTTTATACAGACACGCTGCTCTCTCAGGTCAACCATCACAAAACCGCAAACTCACGGAAACACAACAATGGAAATACGTTCACCAACAATAAACCCAACCACTCAACTCGATGCCGCTTGCCACACTGATTCAAGAAGGATGTGTGAGGAGACACCTAGCGGTATTTCGATGTACTCATAACCATTCGCGCGCAAAATTCAAATTTCGGAAACTTTTGGATTGCTCCATGTATGTTATTAAATATGGTTTGAATTTGGACAGCCGAACAATATCCTTATTACATTATTTAGCCTACGGCAGTGGAATATTTTGCTTTACTAAATAAACTTTCCAGTAATTATAGATATCACTTAGATGTATTGATCTTACAGTGAGACAGCTTTGGACCATACATTGGCCATCAGAGTCAACACCAAACATACTCTCTGTTTTTTTTTGGCATTGAAGACATTCATATTTTCTTATTGTCATAGTTACAGAAGAGTTTAGGAGGTATGTGTCCTTACATCTCTAACTGTAGCACACGGAAATCTGAGAAAAGTCATCATTTAAATATATAAGTAAATATGCCACAACTCTGGAAGGCAAAATTTTCTGTATATTCTCAACACCAAGCCATTAATAAGAGAGGGGGTACCTAACTTACAAAGAGAAATCTGTGGAAGTTACTCTTTCCTCTTCTGCAACACATGAACATATGTTATATGGAAAGTACTTTGGAAAACACATTTCATCCAGGGTGATTTGAAAATAATCATTGTACTGGGTAATGAAATTGGTAATTCTGCAGATATTCTCCTCCTGCTAGCAGCGTTACTAAAGCCATCAGGGATGAAGGCTATTATTTATGTTGACTTTTTATATATAAAAATTTGTAATGCTTGTCCCATGAACATGCTGCAGTTGCAAGTCCCATATCTGAGTATAGTTGACTACATTTATGAGAATGTGTGAGAAGGCAGTTATCCTGTATTATATATTTATACAATTATTTATTATCTTATTTAATAAAATTGCTTTCTAATTATGATATATTGTGATCTAAGCATTCTGCCATTTTACTTTACTTAAGAAGGCCCAAAGGCATAAAACTTTTAAACGGTCATGTAGTTGCCTTGCAATAAAGTGAAATTCTTTGTAAGCTGGAGAATTTGGTTGTCAAGTTATATACTTCGGACTGTTAACTGAGACTGAATTGACCATAAGCGCAACTTATATTGTAATATATATATAATAAGAATTATTTAAAACCACTACTTGTTTCAGTCATTTGTGGTACATGCTGTAACATCCTCACTGAATTGTGACATTACCTTATAGGATTCGTATTGAGATGCGTCCATTTCAGTTTGGTTTATAATGCATTATATAATAATCAGTTGTACCTGTGAAATGTGCTGTAATTAGTTTTGATATTATTACATCCTATGGATTTTGGGGGTGGGGGGCATTGCTGTAAGTTCTTAGTGCTTAACTAAAGAAGTCAGTATGTTGTATTTAGATGCGAGCAGTTGAACTATCCAGCATTATGTCATTAATGCATTTTTGCTCAGATAAAAGTGGGAGGTTGACTGGAATTAGATACCGATGTTTCTTCATCTGAATTAATATTAGATATTCAAATTACTATTATACTGGGATTGACTTGAGCCTCATTCAGCTTGTGTTGTCACAAATAGCTTTGGCTTCCAAGAGTTTAAGTCACATGCATAACGATAGTTTTAGGAAAATGTCAGAAAGGTTGATAATTTTTATAGGACAACAGTGTTGTTAATTGTTCATGATTAAATCCTTTTCTTCCAAAGTTGGTGCTTATATCTGTCTGGTGATGTGTGGTGACCAAATCCTCCAGCTATATTGTAAAGCTTTGATAATTTAAAGCCATTCTCTCGAAAAGTGCACTCATCATCATTGTATGAACATAGGTAGAGAGCAGTGACATTGAGCAACCCTAAACAGTGTGCAACAAAGATGGCATGAATTTTGGATCTGATGGTCTGCCCTTCAGATATGGGACCTTGATGGTGATCCTGTTGGGATATGTGTAGACAAGCAAGCAGGTTCTGTTAACATACAGAGTGTTTTGTGATGGGGTTAATTTGTGGAAAAAGAAAAATGTGTACAATTGGAAAGTTCCTGGACTGTTATTGTTGTAACTGCCTTGGTGAAAGAAAATGAGAGGGGAAGCCAGGGTCACACTTCCACAAGCCTATTGCATCAGTCTGCCATGTGACACTGCACTGTTTTTACACAAGTGGTTTTTTCACTTCATGTTTCATTTTGTCTGCGATGGATGGCAAAATCGAGCAATGTGTCTGCGTGAAGCTCAGTAAATCTGCTACCGAAACCCGTGAAATGCTTCATGAGGCCTTTGGAGGACGTTCTCTAAGCTGAACAGCAGTTTTTGAATGCCATTCACATTTCAAGGTCAGTCGAGTGTCAGTTGAAGATGGTGAACGTTCAGGGCAACCAGACACCAGCAAATCAACAGAAAATGTTGAAAAAATTCGAGAACTCGTCCACAAAGACCATCGCCAAACAATTCATGAGCTCGCAGACACCATTGGGATCAGTTATGGAATTTGCCAGGAGATGTTAGCAGGAAATTTAAACATGGACCACATTGCCACGCACTTTGTTCCCCGATTCTTGACAAACGATCAAAAGCAGCAGTGCATAAATGTGTGTCCTGAGCTATGAGAGAAGACTCATGAGGATCCAACTTCTATCTGTAGGATCATAACGCGTGACAAAAGCTAGATTTACTTGTACAGTTATGATCCAGAAACAAAGCAATAATAGTTGCTTTGGAAGAGCCCACAGTCACCAAGAGCAAAAAAGGAGTGGCAGGTCCAGAGTTCAACAAAAAGCATGCTCATTGTTTTTTTCACTGTGAAGGGTATTGTTCACCATGAATTTGTTCCTCCTAACACTATGGTCAACTCTGACTTTGACTGTGACATTTTGAGACACTTGAGAGAAAATGTACAGGATTAGGCGCAGAAACTTCCTTTTTTTGAAGGCGAATAAAAGAAAAATTATTGCTGATGGACAAAATTTATGTTTAGCTAATGAAAGAACATGCTTAAAAATTTTAAACAAAATATCTTGAAGATGGTGGCCACCGTTCTCTATGCACTGATGCAACCGTTTTCTGAAGTTCCCCTCTGCACATTCCAACGTGTGCACCGGAATTTGGGCTACTTCCTGCTGAATAACATTCTTCAGCTGAAGCAGGTTTGTGGGGCGATGTTTAAAAACCTCTGCCTTGAGGTATCCCCATAAAAAATCACAGGGCCCATGGGATGTCACCTCGAAGCGAGATGAGCTGTCCGGGGAACTTTGCCCTCAAAACTGTCATCGAAGCTTGGGCTGTGTGGGCCGTGACACCATCCTGTTGGAACCAGACATTTCCTAGATGCATTTCTTCAAGAGCTGGTTCGAAAAAATCTCAAAATCGACTGTCGAACTGCCTCCACATTTTCTGGTGTCATGATGGTCCATTGTCATCCTGACGATTTTTTCACCACACCCCCGGTTGTCCTAAAGTTCTGTGCCCACAAAACAAACGATTTCCAATCGGGAACCAGACCTCTTGGATTAATTCCAAAGTGAGTACAAACGCATGCTGCACTGCCACGTAGGAATGGTTGTTCGAAAAATAGGCTTCGACAGCAAACACACGCTGCTCAGTCGTCCACTTCATGTTTCCTACTGAGGGGTATTAGACAAAAACTTCCGCGACTGCTGCGTTTGCCGAGCCTATCCCCACTTTTCTGTGACCTCCCTTTCCTTCACAAT